TTATCCACGTAGAAGTGAGATATGTAGCCTCTCAAATATCGCCAGCCTCGGATACACTTTGGTACAGACATATCGCTAACTACTTCATAGCTTAAACCACTATAGTTTAAAGGATACATGAAAAAAATGTTATTGCTAGAGGTTAAAAGTCTCTTATATGTTATTTGGAAAGTGATTTTTTAAAAAAACTTATGTGTCTCTCTATAATAATTCTCCAAAAAAAAAATTGTGACATGACATTTTCTAAAATGTGACAAGACAAAATTGAACAAACATTTAGCCCACTAAAATTTATACCCACTAAAATTAGTCTCACAAAACAAGTTAACTTTAACCCACTAACAAGAAAGAAAAGACACCCACCAAATTTTGTTACATAACTAATTAAATTTTAGGAAAATTAGCCACATTTTTAAATGAGTAAACAAATTATTCTTTTAGTGCAATTAACCGAATAAAATTTATACCCACGAAAATTAATCACACAGAACTACTTGAATTTGTCATATTTTTGTTTGTCATTCTAAAATTATATATAAATTTATGTTTCTCATTTAAAAATAGTTTAGAAATTGATTCTAGAACATTTTTATGAATTATATATATTAGTTTTAAAATTAATAGTAAAGACTTACCAAATTTTTAAAAGAAAATTTGATATGTTTTATGAAAACAATTTCCCGAATTTATAACAACAAATATAACTATTTGTTAGTTTTTTTTAAAACACAAGATAATTTGAAAGTAACAAAAGTTTTCTTTAATTTAAAAGTAACAAACAAAATTTTAATACATGTTTCATTTATAAAATATATGTGTATATATATTAATTTTTTTAAAAATTAAATTTTTGATTTATATTCTAAATTTTACTCCACTTAAGATATTCAGACAAACCAAATTCAACATAATTTTTACATATGATATAATTCAAATAAATATGAGTTGTATATATTTATTTAACAAATAAGTACTCTTTAAGCTATTGTTCTAGATCATTTCTATTTCTATAGTAAACTTCATCTTTTATATATAAAGTTAAAATAAAATAATAAAATATTAGTATGAATATCTTTACAATTTAAGTAAACTTAAAAACAACGTCTAATCTAAATGTCCGAATTCGCTATTGAATCTAACAAAAATCCATAGTAGATATTTTATTTTAGATATTTTTATTCAAAAATAGATAATTTACATGGGTTTAACCAAATGTATATTGAACATAATTGATCATAATATGTCGTGTTTTGTTTTGTCAAATTTTCAAGTTTCAAAAGAATTTACACACCACATTAGTAGTATTTTGCTGTAATGTGTTAGCGACAAATTCGACACTACAACATCAATAGAAATAGAGAAACTTTTAGAAATGACAAAATCTTACTTTGTTATTACGATATAACAAATATAACTTTTAGAAATGAACCAATGATCAACTATTGTTTTTGTTAGTTGAATTGTAAAAAGTTATTGTCAGAGTTATTAATAAAAATAAAATTAGTGCCAACAAAAGAAAAAAAATGATTTCATATAAAGAAAATTGTAGTTAAATTCAAATTGGACATCATTATTAGTTTTTAACCAAATAATACTTTTTAATTTATTTGATTTCTAAAAAATATTTAATCACGTATAACGCGGAGAGTAGTGTTTTGGTATAAGTCATATTTTGAGGAAATGCTTTGTTCGGAAGAAAGAGAAATAATTTACTAAGTACTTTTGTGATTATAGATCCCCTGGCCCTTACTATCAAAACAGAAGTGCAATTATTGAAATACTTTATGTGTTTCAATCTTATTGGCTTTTTCCAAAAAAAACTATGACATGTCTTAGAGAAAAATGATGATATGTCTTAGATCTTTACTCAATTTCTTAAAACAAATTTTATCAAGACTA